TGCTCCTTTGAAATATGGCGGAGTTTGCCTGTGTGCCCCTGGCTTCTCTGCCAGGGGCAGCTCTGAATGAAACAGCTCATTCTCACTTCAGGTGTTAGAGGCTCTCTGTTCTTCATTGGCTAGAAATTTTGCTTTTAGGAAAAGAGTTATGATCAGTTTGGGTGAATTCCCCCTAATTTGTGTAAAATCCCTGTGTGTATGGGTTGGGACAAAGCATGAGGCTGTGGGGGAGATAGATTGGCTGTGGAGAAGGCATTTTGGAGTTTGGGAAAGGCTTCCTGACAGTCAACATTGGTTCTATAGCAGGGATTCTTAAAGTCCTCTCTGGACCAGCAGCTTCAGTTTCACCAGGTAAGTTGCTAGAGATGTTACTTCTTAGGCCTCGAAGACTGATCTGAATCAAATATGCTTGGGATGGAATTAGCGATCTAAAATATTAAAGGCCTTCCAGGTGATTTTGCTACACAACTGAATTTAGAACCATTGCTGTGGAACAGTTGAGAATCACTCATAGCTGAGGTGGCTCATAGCTGGGTTCTACTCTGGGAATTACCCTATCTGATTTACCAAGATATGCCTTCTTCTTAGGGACAGCCTGCACCTGACGACTGTTTATGTAGAGTCATAGCCCCTTGCTTTAATCCAGTACAACTATGAAGACCCATCCTAATTCCAGAGCTCTCTGTGTGATTGCTGAGCCTTCTACAAATGCATTGCAGTTCATTTTCCTTCTTAGCCAGGTTCTGTTTCCATTAACCATTCCCATATACCTTGATAGCACTTTTCAGTAAACCTCCTGAATTCAAATATTGGTATCAGTCTTATCTGACCCAAGACACAGCCTAACGTGAGTGACATCCACTGTGAGCTGAGCAGCCTACACATCCACTCATGACACCTGAGGATGGCTGGTCCTCTGCACACCTACACAAGCTGTCCTCAGGCCAAGTTTTGCTGAGTTGGCACACCAGATTGTGGAAGTAGGAAATGAGATAGGTTTTCATCTGTTTGCATTGAAAGCTAGCAGGGAGAGAGGCTTGAAGGACATTTAGACTAACCTAAAAGCCCCAGAAGGGAAGGCTTGACTTTAAAGTGATCAACCTGCCCCTGAGGGAAGGAGAAGGAAACTAGCAATTATAGGCTGGGCTTTCAGCCAGGGTCTTGCACATATATCCTCATGCATTGAGATGAAAAGACATGAGAATGTATTATTACTCTGTACCCTTTAGAGTCAAGAGAAGTACTTCTTAATTCCATGGGATTCTCTAAAGTATTATTCACATAAAATTCTGGCTGTGTATTTCCATAGTAAAGGGGATGATAAAGCCAACCTATAACTACAGGACCTTGTGGAACTGCTTCTGCTGGTGACAGCCCCTTTTTTTGCTTGCATTCCTAGCAGGGCTGGCTGGAGAACTTGCATTTTGTGTTCTCTGTTATATATTATTTTTTGAGGTAGTGTTTGTAGTTTTATGTAAGCACAAACACGTAAAATGTGCACATGAGCCGGTGATCTCCATTTTCTTTGATGGACAGCCTCACATTGGGATTGGTGACTCTGATGACCAGCTGGGCTGCTCTTTCCATGATGGTTTTGAGGTTCTTGGAAGAACTATTGTGAGTGAGCTCAGCCTGGTAAGACTTGCTGCACATCAGGAGAATGTCCTACTCTTGACATTGGCATTGGGAACCAGGAAATTGTGGAAGCCACGGGGCAGCATATGCATTGTTTTCTTGTTCCTATAACTAGTGTTGGGCGTCAAGCTCTGGCCCTTGAATCTTTTCCACACCCTGTTGTCAATATCTCTCTGCCAGTTATACTCAGTTTAACATATTGGTCAGAACTTCTTGGTCCTTTTTTTTTTGGCAATTTGGGCTTCCCAAGAGGTCTGAAGGCAGTAGAAGATGGTGGCCACCTCCACTGGCAGCAACAAGGAAAAGCTCTGTTACAACACTCGTGAGGACCAGCAGTATGGCTCATATGGTAAAGAGCTTGCTAAACAAGAATGAGGTCCTGAGTTCAAACCCTGGCACTGCAAAAAACAAAAACAAAAAAACTAATCCAAAACAAACAACATTCTTTCAAGATATTTTGTGTGGTGCCTGGTGTGAGGCCTGCTTATACACCCTCAGGAGATCCTCTGTGCCATGTTTAGGTATTACTGGCTTGTGTTCTTAGGGCAAAAGGCTGTTGTTGATAATTATTCTCCCTTCTATTTCAGTTTGCTACCAGTTGCAGGGAGCCTTATGAATAACCGTTAGATGTTTAAGTAGCTGTATGTGTGGAAGCATGCTATGGTGGGGAACGCCTGGGAATGTGAGGCAGAAGAGCTAGTTCCTGGCCTCATCTCTGCAGCTACAGCTGGAGTATAGTCTTTAACAGGCCACTTCCCTCCTCTGGTCCTGGATTCTCCAGGTGGATAATAACCGAGTTACGGATCATGTCCAGTATAAACATTTTCATGAGCAGACAGTGGATTAAGGTGCTATAGATTCAATATTGCACCACGGAAAGGTGACCCCTCAATTGATGAATTCTGCCATGAACAGATAGTGGTACCTATTCAGAAACATCTAAAACTCTTAGAATTTTTAGTTAAGTAAAAATGGAAAAACTGCTACCCATCTAAAGTACATCAGAAATATTTTGTCAGTCTAATAGTCTTCCGAGTACTCTAAAATCTGGGAGCATTAGCATTATAAGTTATAAGTACTCTGTATCTTGAACTCTGGTTCTGCATTCCTGGCACTCTCCATTTGTTAGGCCTGGGTACTTCATATTTCATAGCACATATCGTGACATGATATATTAAATTGGACATTTAATTATTAGTAAATACCCAATTATTCTTCTTCTCTGATGTCCCCCATGACAAGAGTTTATAATTTCTGGAAGGGGTGAATTCAAGTATGCTATATATCTGATACATTGTTAAGAACCTTTGTAAATGCTGCAATGTACCCTCACCCAGCACAATAGTAAAGGAAAAAAGAATATATACTTTCTGGGAGGGAGAACCTTCTTTTATTTCCTACATTATACATAGGGCACAAGGTTGTGTTACCAATGAATGAAAGATAAATATGTATGCATATACACATGTATATATGTCTATAATAATACATGTATGTATGTGCATTTGTACATGCTTTTAAGCTTCAGACTATAATAGGAAATAGATATTACTGTTTTTGCTGATTTTTAGGTGAGGAAAACAAAGCTTAGAGAGGAAAATGAATTGGTTTTAAACTGAGGCAGTCTGCTTTAACTATGCCAATGATATATCCTTTTTTTATTGTTGTGCTGGGTGGGGGTACATTTACAAAGGTCCTTACAATGTATCAAATATATCATACTTGGATTCATCTCCTCCCCTGCTCTCCTTTATTCCTCCTTGACCCCATTCCTGGAACAGTTTCAACAGGTGTCATTTTGCATTTACATACTGTGTACACAGTATTTGCATCATATTCACCCTCCTACTCCCTTGCCCCTCCACCACCCCCTCCCATTAGTACCACTCCCCTCCAACCCCCAGGCAGGACCTGTTCTGTCCTCCTGTTCTCTGATTTTGTAGAGGAGAAAGAAAAAAAATGACATTTTTGCTTGTTTGAGATAAAGGTAGCTACCCAGGGAGTTTCCTTGTGATAGTTCCATGTATATATGTACTATAACTCCAGTTGGTTCATCTCCTCTGCTATGTCTTTTTTGTGCCTGTCTCAAGCCAGGCATGCTGGAATAATCTTTGAATTTGGTCAGGATGATAAATCTATCTTAAAACATATGTTGTCCCATGTAGGGGGCATCGTATACTATTTTTATTCAATAATAAACATTTGTTGAGTTCCTGTTCTGCCCTACAGGGAATAATTCTAGAGATACAGATTCTAGCTTTTAAAGGAATAAAAGCTGTGTAGTAGAAATAAAAATGATGTTGGTAGATGGTAGGTAGGTAGGTAGAGAGATAACCATACCTGGAAGCCGATGTTGACTGCCAAATGAAAGGTACAGGTATCTGACTACCCAGTGTCTGAATTGACCTAGGCGGGCTGCATTAAGGGTCATCTAGTAAAGCTAATAGATTTATTCACATGCTTACTCTTTGCTCATCATTCTTTCTTGTACCTCATTCTTTCTTTCTGGGTGCCTTTCTTCTTCCTGAAGTGGATTTTTCAGTAAATTTAGGAAGTCTTCCTTATAGTCCAAGAAAATACATTTTAGAAAGCCCTTTGTTATGATGCAGACTGTCCTCCCACTCCTAAAAGGCACAGGAAGAAGTCACTGATTGGCTGAGGTCATCAGAGAGGCTTGAAGAGAACATGGGACTTAAAGTGACCCTATCAGAAGCCTCAGTATGAATAAGAAGAGGGAAAGTTACTTTTGGAGGGAAAGATGGAGTAAGAAGTGCCAACAGGAGGAAAGGTTCCGATGCAGGGATGTGAGGCACTAAATGCATCCCAATGGATCTGGAAAGAGGATCCAAAAATAAGGTGCATGTGAGTCTCATTGGGGTAAATAATGTGCGTGTAGGTTTACTGTGTGTTGAGGGTGAGGAAGGAGACTTGAACTGTACCTTCCAGGGAAGAGTCAGTCCAGTTTGACTTTAATTCCCTATTATAAAACTTGTATAACTTTGAGTGAGTTAGTAAACCCCTCCATGGAATACAGTTTTTCCTTCTCTAAAATGGCAATAATAGCTCTTACTACCAAAGATTATTATGAGAATTAAATGAGAAAACACATCTTAGCTTCTTAGAACACTATCTATCATTTGGTAACTGCTTATTACATATTATTATTATTATTATTGTTTTTGCCACTTTACTGAAAGTCAGACTGGATCAGCCCTAAATGGTCCCTAAAAATCTTTTCAGATGACATGAATAAAAATGACCATGCTTTCCAGGTCTGTCTTGGAAGCTTCTTTGAGCTGGAGAGAGTTGACTTCTAACTTCTACAAGCTGAGCTCTTTCGCACACAAACGGGGAGAGTTACTCACAGAATGACTGGTCCAGAGGCTCCCTGGAAAACATCATTAGGCAATTCTTCCAAATTATTGTTATCACTTAGATTCCTGGGAATGGAGGTGAGGAAAGAAGAAAGGAAACATAAACCCACATAAATATCACTGCTTGTAAGAGCCATTTCCCTCCAAATGGCCTGGAAGAATAGTCAAGGCTACTTACAGCTCATCTAGTTGGGTTCCATTGAATGCACGGTTGTGAATTTCTTGAATCCCATTCTTAGTCAGCCGTCTGAAATAAAAGGCCCATTAAAAAAAACCAATGACACCAGATTCAAACAATACAGGGGTTTCATAATTGGAAGCACTGGGGCAAGGTCAGACAGCACAGGTTAGTGGCATAAATAAAATGCCAGTCTTAAAGCTTGGGGATGAGAGTGCGAGGGAGACTGATTTATCACTGTATAACCTTTTATAACTTTTGAGTTTGCATTATGTACATGTATTATCTATTGAATAAATGAAATTTAATTTTAAAAAGGCACACCTCGTGGATCTTCTAACTATAAGGTCTGTGCATGCATCACTCATGTACAGAAAAGATGTTACAAGAGGAGCAGATGAAGGTCTTTTGTGTCTTGAAGGACAGAAATTGTACAATTATTGAACACATGTTTCTAAGACAGAGAAAGAACATTTTGTGTCACCTTTCTCTAAGGCCTTAAGCATTTCACCCATGCTCACCCACAGCAGCGGGCCTGACTATCATCAAAAAGTTGATCTAATTAAGTTGTCAGACAACCTGAGCATCTCCTGTGACCTGTAAGGCTCTGGTTATTAGGGGTTTGTGGAGGTGGCTGTGGGTTAAGTCAGAAGGGGAGAGAAATCAATTACAGAGACTGTGGGTTGTGGCAGGGGAGGTGGTGTGAGTGGACATGGGGGAGACTCTGGAGAGGTGGGGTGAGTGTAGAACTGTCATGCTCATTGTGCTAAGAAGGTCAGGGAGCAGCTTTGCCTGGACAGGGTTGCCCAAGGACACCTTGGGCCGACAGCTCTGCTTTGTTCTGCTCCTGAGTAGATCTGAAAACAAAAACAGACATCCAAGGTCGGGGGAGCTTATTCTGAGGAGCCTCTAACCACCTGCTCTTGTTTTGCTGTCAGGTTCTTTTCCCTGTCAGACTCAGTGGGTTTACAAATAACACTGTTCAAAAAGCTGACCCAGAGAAGCTGCTGTGTATTCGGGACTTTGACTATTTTCTAGGCTGCAATGCATAACTAGAAAATGCTTAAAATCAAAGGAGAACAACTGTAGGTTTTTCCTCTTCCTGAAAGCCAGTTAACTAAAAAATCCAGAAAGGAGTAAGGAAAATCTTTTACAACATTAGCAACCAAACGGTGGGTTCTAATGGCAAAGATTTGGCTGTGCACCGCTATCCTGCTCCACCTACCTACCAGGAAAAGGCCTCTCCTACTGATCTAGACTCCAGACTTGTCAGCCTGTCTCATGGTGATGAGAGCTACTGGGGAAGTTGCCTCGAATCTATGGGATGCATATCCCTAGGGGGTGTGGGATCAAACACAAGGCTCAACAAACTCTTCCTATAAATTGCCAAAGAATAAGTTTTAGGTTTTATGGGCCAAGAGGCAATATTAAAGATGTTATGTACTGTATATAGGTTCTTATAAACAATTTTCACAGATTTTATTGACCAAATTCAAACTATAATAATTATAGAGTACAACTATTTTTCTGTTGTAATATATCTCTACTATTAAAAAAGAATAGAAGTTTCTTGAGGGGGAAGGATAACATTTTGCATAATTTAAGTTCAATGTCAGTGTTTCCCATCACTAATATGTTCAGTTGTTAAAAAACAATCGTACTTCACAGCTGGCTTTGGCCTGTGAACTGTAGTTGGCTGACCCTTTGTCTACCCCAAGGAGTGTGCAGATCCACATAGACTATACCTATTTGTCTATAGACAAGATAATTAATCTTTCTGCACATAGATGTCCTGCAAATAGATATTGCTGTGATTAAACACAATGTGGTCTCATTTTAAAAAATAAAATTATTGTGTTCGAAGTAGCCATTTGTCTTTATGGATTTCACAATCAATATGTACCACCATGTGGCAAAGGCGATGGCATTTTTTTTAATGCCAACAATGGATTGTTACACAAAAAACAAATTATGTCCAGAACTCCTGCCCTTGGGTTTCTGTTAGACTATAAGGCACTCAAACTACTAACAAAGGGAAGCCATGTTCACTTTTAGTTGTTTAAGATAGGGAGTAGATGTTTTAAAACTTGATGGTGTTTATGACAATGACAACCTTGGCAGAGCATCTGCTAAGGAATAACATCAGGGTTTACCTCAATCCTTTTGTGTCCCTGGGGACAAGACCTTGTCTCACTCAGCAAAGGCTCATCATCCTAAAGTGTGAACGTGCTGGCCTTGGGCCATTAAAACTCACTGAGGGGCAGGCAAGGTAGCTGGTTGCCAATTGAGGAAGGGAGGAAACACATACAAAGAAAGCCTTTCCTGAGGCCAGAGCATGCTGGGAGCTGTCATGCATGTAACCTCATTTTATGTCTTCTGAATTAGGCCATTCTTCTAGCAGGACATCACCAGGTGCTTTCCCTGTTCAGCCCCTCTGCTTACTGTGGCACAGCAGGGTGTGAAAGGGTTCAGAGGCCTCCACTCCTTGGCCATTTACTGCTCTTATCCCTGAGACACTATTCAAGTACTTTATAATCCTTCATTGTTGTGGTGTTTAAAAAATATTATTATGTTTTTAAAATAGGGCCTTGGAATTTTAGAAGATTTTATGGGATAGAGAGCTTCTTCAGTCATCGGTACCATTTTGCTCTGATTTTTTTCACTGAGTGCTCTTGGATGGCCCTCTGAGGAGAAAGTACCCCTATGTTAGATAAAGCACCTAAACTAAGAACAACTAGAGGCTTAAGCTGTGTTGAGTATATGAATCCTGTGATTCTTTTACCTATGGATTAAAGAATAGCCAAGGTAAGAAAAATAGATGTCCTCACAAGTGGGAACTTATCCTTTAGAGACATGTCTGAAAAGTGTTGGTTTTTAAAGGAAAACTATCCTCTCTTGAAAAGTGTGTCCCTAAATTCTAGGGAATCACACTGTCCATAAACGAGGTAGTGAACAACTGACAGGACCTATAGGATCTATGCCATTTTTTTTGTAGCTTTAGGCTAACTGTGCATAATAAAGTTTATTAAAAAAACCCAAAATTATAAAAAATCATGCTGGTGGCTCACACCTGTAATCCTAGCTACTCAGAAGGCAGAGATCAGGTGGATCACAGTTTAAGAACAGCCCTGGGCTGTTCATGGGACCCTATCTTGAAAAAAAAACACCATTACAAAAAAGGACTAGTGGAGTGGCTCAAGGTATAGGCCCTGAGTTCAAACCCCAGTACTGCAAGAAAAAGAAAAGAAAAAAAAAAAACTCAAAAGAAAAAACAAATAATCCATAACAATTTGCAATATGTAAAGAGAAAATATTTTTTTTACAGATATAATTTTGTAATTACTGGCTCCCCAAATGTTATTCTGTGCATTTCATTTTCATAGATTCCATGAATGCTTGGGTAGCCTGCAGTGCCCTGTTGCTTGGCTATCCTGGAGAGTAGGTAAACTGCCATGCTGGCTACTAGCACAAAAGATTAGCAGACTGTTCATTAACGATGCAGAGGGCATTTAACAACTTACCCAGAAGTCAGAGGGAGTAACTCAAGCTCATTAAAAATCGTGATCATTTCAAGAAAATGAGAAGTCATCTTAGGCTCAGCAGGGGCCCAAATAGGAGCTGCTCAGTATGGTTATGAGGGAAAAGTCATATCTTCCCAAGTCAGCCTCCTTCCTGGTCTTTTTCTTTGGGCAACAGAAGCCTTGCCAGGCAATAACTAGCTTTATTGATGCACGAGTTATTCTGTCCTTTGGAACAGATGCTGCATCACAGGAGACCATCATTCAAAGAGCAATTTTAAATACTTGAATCACACTACAGAATCATAAATTATTAACATGACTCCATGTTGTGATTCTGAGATGCAAAGATTATAGAAAAACACAGAACTAGAGAGTGATTTAAATGGCGAACGGCCAGTTACCTAAACAAAAAAGGAGTAGTCCTTAGTGAGAAAGAGATCATTAAGTGAAAAACTGAATGTTACTCATTAGAGTCCCCCCCTTACTTACAGAATCACACTTTCAAAACTCAGTCCCATGAAAGAATTTCTTTGAATTATGTGGATGTTTATGTTATCTTGAATGTCTCTACAAGAAAGGATAGAGAAATTAGAAATTTATGTTGGCTCTACCCATGTAACTTTCCCATGTTTAGTTAATGTTTTAATACAGATTTTGTTCAAAGGATAATGAGTTCCAAGTGTGGGAAACAAGTGACCTTTTTAGCATGTTAGTTCTTAAGGACGAAAATTGTAGACATGCAATGTCTTTTCTCTGAACGATTTCTTAGCTAAAGTCACTGTGTTAAGGTTTTCTCTAATACAGACAGATACTAAAACTGACCTGTTACCCCCATACCAGTTTTCTCTATTCACCTTACTTGAGCTTTCGTCCTCCCATCTTCATTCCCTTCTTACCACTAGTTTTCTTCTGTCTGTCCTCTTTGAGTCACAAAACAATTTTATCACTAAGTTTTCTCTTCCTAAATTAAAAGATGGAGAAAGTCTCATTTTCTGTTTGTATTCCTTATCCTTCTATCAAGCTTCCCTATTAGGTCTAAGCTAACATCTAAATGTAGAAACAATAAACAGTTTGAAACAATTTGAACAGTTCTAAAAGATTCTTTCTCTCTCTAGCTCTGGACATCTCTTCCTGACCTCTTCCTTTGGGGTCTGTCTATAATCTTATACTTTCAGTATTGGTAACAAAGTTGCCATTGAACATGGCCTGTTCTCTTTTAAAATATAGGTGCCTTGAGAAAAGGCAAAGGCATCAGATCACTAAAACTTTAGTGTCAATTATCAGATATTTCTTTATGCAAAGGGAAGCACAGGAGCTCTGGAGGAAAGAGGAGAGGATGATGAAAGATGATGGGGGAGTTTTAGGGAGGCAGTTTTAATTAGTTAAAAAATGAGAGACTTTGTGATTGTGCTACCCGCTTGTTCTGTTGATACAACTTGTTGAAGATCCTGTTGACGTCCTCCAAATTGAGATTGGCTGGCCAATTCCAGGTAAAAGCAAGGACCTTGATGTTTGTCTTCTTACCTCTGCTCACCCAGAGCAACTCATTTGTAGACTACACAGTGCATATTAGAGACCAAGAAGGCTTCTGGGAAATACAGTTACTAAGTAGATTTGGTAACTGCTTGCTATGTTCTGGAACTTGATTGCCTACCAAAGGTTTATGTGTTGTAGGCTTCATCCTTTTGGGAGGTGGTAGAGCTTTAAGATGTGGGACCTAGTGGAAGGTCTCTGGGTTATTGGTGGCATGCTCCTGAAGGGGACTGTGAGACTTTGGTTTCTTCCTTGTTCTTTGGCTTCCTAGTCATGAAGTAAACAATTTTGTTCCAATGATGTACTGGTTCAAAGTAACGGTGCCCCAAAAATCATGGACTGAAGCCTCTAACCTCTTTGAGACAAAATAAACCTTTTCTTTTTATAAGTTAATTATCTCAGGCATTTGTTATAATGACAGAAAGCTGAGTGACACACTGTTCAATGAAAAACTTACAGTAAAACCTTTTGAAAAGATTGAATCTTGTGAACAGCTGGCAAGTGCTTAATACCTGTGTTGGATATTAACCTAGAGGGAGAGAAAATCACAGTGAGGAAAAATGTAGCTGCTATTTAAAATGTTGTTAGACTTTACAGATTCAAAATGCCAATTTTGAACTATCAGAAAAACCTACCAGCAAAGCCCATAATATGTCTGAATTATGCTTATATTCTCTACTTTAAGGTTCTAACCAGTCTCTAGTAAACTGTTGACTCCTTAGAGCAAAGAAACTTACACTTCAGGAAGAAGGAAAATAGTCTAGCACCATATACCCACTGTTTTTTAAAGACCATTAAATTAACACGATTCAAAAGTTACTTCCAACTAGATAATATTTTCTTAAATTATTCCCTATTTCCAGCCCCAGCACACTTGTTGGAGAGCTTCCCCTCCCCCTACTGCAGATGATTTCATTGGGATTAGAGCATGAGATTCCATGCTCTTTGACCTCAGAGTATGTGTGTTACCTAAACTGGGTCAATCAGATATTTGGGAAGTGGATACAGGTTGGTTAGAGCCAAGTCTTCTGCTGCTACCATCCTAAGAGATACCATCTCTAAGTTCCTACACCTGACAATTCCAGACCTACCTTGAATCCCTCCCAAGGCCTAGTTGGCTTGGCTTCCTCAGGAAGCAGAGCCTGAAGGCCTGAGATGAAGGCTGGCCTGTAGGTAATAAAATTGCTAATGCAAGTTCAGTTCAGTGCATCCAGGACAGAAAGTATGAAATAGGGAAGGAGGAAAGCTAATCAATACCGGGAAGAATTATTGACTTGGCCATCATTACTGGTGACTTTTCTTAATCTCAAGGACTTGATTTAGGAGATTTTTTAGAACATATATCAGAATTGTTGATCTGAGTGGAAGAGAGTAGTGAGGGGAAGGACTTATCCATAGACTCCTATTCTCTATTGCTCAAAAGTGGCACTGTTATTAATGCCCCACTTCTGGCATGGACATTTGTGAACTGCTAGTGAGTTCCTGATGGGCAAAGGCAATTCTCACCATGTTGTAGAAGAAGCAAGGAGTGAGAAGTATACAAATCCAGGGTAGGTGCTGTCCAGTTGCACATTAATCTGGGTGAAATTTGTGTGGAAATGTCTACTGGAGCCATGGTTAAGGTTATTGAGTGGTACACAAGAACTATCCAATATACTATTCTTTAGAATTTCCCTTACTCGCATGAGATACTCCAAAAATTTCCAATATCTCTTTACTCCCATTTCCTTCTTCTGTGTCTGACTTATCTAAACTAGAGATGGTATTGGTTGCTTGCAACCTGAAGAGCTCTTCTTGATTTCCTCATCATTGTGAGGGACTACGTGTCTTTTCGAGTTTATGACTCTGAAGTAGACTTTGGTGTCTTGTTCTCTGCTTTTATATCCAGAGTCAGTGCCTACCACCTACAGGTTCTCTGTAATGGCTCTCAGATGTTTTGTTCCCAAAAATACACATCTTGATAATATTTTCTTTTAATTACTTCAATAGCTTTTGAGCTGTCTCCTCTACTTTTTATTTGCAAGAAATAGGTTGGTAATATATTGGCATGCAGAATTTGGTATGGTGTTAATTCTCCTTAAAAATTTTGCATGCAGAAACATGTGTTCTTTCTGTCATAAAGGTGTATGAATGAAGACAAAGAAATAGTCATGTGACCACCTGCACAATCCAGATGCAGAGTATGCCATCTGTCTCCAAATTCCCTTGTGTTTCGTTTTGTAGTTAACCCTTTCTAACCTCTATTCCTAGAAACCGTTGATTACTTTTCTGTATCTGTAATTTTGCTTTTTCCGAAGTATCATATCCATGTAACCATTTGGCCTGCAACTTTTTTATTAGCATATATTAATTGTACAAAGGGGTTTCATTTTGATGTTTCCATACATGCATACAATGTACTTTGATCAAATTCATCCCTTCTATTACTCTTTCTTGTCCCTCCTCTTCCTCCTTTAACAGAAATTTTAATGGGTTTCATTATTCTATTTTCATACATGTGTACAAAGTACTTCAAACATAGTTGCCCTCCTTCACTCTCTCCTTTCACCCTCTCCCCTCCTACTGGCTCCCACTCCCAAACAGTTCCTGTTTTATATTCATGTCATTCTTTTTTAAAATGTGTAGATTCTGTATATGAGAGAGAACATGTGATATTTGTCTTCCTCAGTCTGGCATATTTCATTTTACATGATGATCTCCAGTTCCATCCTTTTTTCCTGCAAATGACATAATAATTTCATTTTTGAGTCTGGCTTCTTTCATTTAGCACTATGTATCTGGGATTCTTCCACATTTTTGTGAGCATTGGTAGTTCATTGTTTCTATTGCTAAGTAGTCCATCTTGTCAATGGCCCACAGTTTGCTAATCCATTTACCAGTTGAAGAATATTTGAATAATTTCCTGGTTTTGTGGCAAAAATATGTGTCATATAGGTATTTATGTTTGTAAATGCATATAAAAAGTGTTTCAAACGTTTGTGCAGTTTTTATACATGAGAACATAGGTTTTTCTTTCTCTTGGGTAAATACCTAGAAGTGGTATTGCTGGATCGTATGGTTCCAGTTGCTCTGTATCCTTTGGTTATTTTAAAGAATATATCCTTTGAATATCAAGGGAATATGTATTTATTGTAGGACTTATAAAAATGTGGAAATATCTGCAGAAGAATGTAATCACCTGTAGTCTCACTACTCAGAGATAGCTGTTAACATTTGAAGTTTGAAGCTTCTACCAAAATAGCTTTCACCATTACTCTCTGTAACCCCAGAGACTCTACCAATCCTGACAGAAACACTGCCATAAATTTAACTACCTACCACCCCAGTTCTGTTTAATCATATCTAGCTTTCTACTATTTTTTAGATCTCTTCCCATGAGTTTATTCAGTATTCCCTTAGTGAGACTTAAAAGCAGGGACTGTATTTAATATTCTCTGACAATCTTTTACTACTGTGTGTAGGTTTGAAATGCAGTATGTGCTCATAAAATACTGGGTTAATTGGTTGACATGTCTAAAACATTTTGTTTGCTTCTGTTACCAAGAATATATATAAAAACCTGATTTAGTTAATTTGCTTGTCAGGTATCACTGCTTTATGGGTAATTAGTCTTAAACAGAGGCAGGGAGGTCTGGAGGCCAGGAATCAGGAGAACCTATATGACAATTCGTGCATGGACTAGACACAGCCATTTCATCTCTCCAGGCCAGAAAGGATGTGGAATGTGAATGTCAAGGTAGACATTATATCAAACATCTCTGTATCCTGCTTCACATCCTGTTGGCCCAACTTTTACAGTAGCTGTTGCCATGGCAATAAGCTGCCATCAGATTTAATTTGACAGACATTTGCCTCAGCTATACTGGCTATCTCTCTTTTCTGTCCTGGGCTTCTTTTCCACTTTCAAGTCAGGCACTTATAGGAACCTCTTTAATCATTCTGAGGCCTTTGCAAATCTAGGAGTGCTAAGGAGTTAACACATCAGGCCATTCTTGGCTAGTGATGAACTCCCTTTTCCATTCCTTTGGTGAACAATTCTGAATGTATGCACATGTTATCTTAGAGGACTCTAGCATGAGCCCCAATTACCTGTGGTGTACCTCTTGATATGACATTTGTGAGTTAGCTTGTCTTCTTTCCTTTTTTCCCTGTTCCTGTCATCCAAACCCTTTCTTTGGATTTATACACATAAATGAACTACTTACAAGTAGGTCCTTGTTCAGACATTTTTTAGAGAACCTAGACTAAGACAGATATCAACTCATATATAGATACACTGATGGCTGCTATCTCCCTTTACTCCATGTCTGTCCCCAATTGTACCCCAGTCCATTTTCTCCTCCTTCTTTCACAGCAAAGCTTTTAGAAAGTATTATCTTCACATACTGTCTTCATTTATCTTCAACCTGTTCCAATCTGTTGTTTTCATCCTACATCTCTTCATCAAAGGCACTACCCACCAACCACCAACCTAAATCCACCAACCCACCAACTACCCAAGGTAATGAACATTTTAAGTTCTCATTTTATTAGATCTTTCTGAATCCAGTCAATACTGTTTGCCAGTCTCTTTTCTATTGGTTCCTCTCATATTGTACTCTTCTGTTATTCTTCCTTCTCCTCTGTTATTCCACCTTTAGTATTCTTTGCTTTTTCCCCTTTCTCTATTTATGTCCTGGGCCTTTTATCTTTTTTCTGTATTGTCTCAGCTAGGTAGATCTTGTTTCCCATTCCTTTATGTAGTAAATGTTCCCTCCTGAACTCTCTTGTCTGTCACTAATTAATGCTTACGTCAGTCACATAGCCTCCTCAATGTTTCATTGACGTAACTAAATTATTTCCCTTGGCAACCATCTCTGCCAAATTCTTCTCTACATATAGCATTGCCATCCACCAATTGTTCATTAGAAATGTGACAAATTTGGCAGGTTCTTCTTCATCCTCCAACATTTGGTCCATCTCAAAATCTTCTTAGATTCCATTTCCAAAATGTATCTTGATTCCATGCAGTTTTTCCATCTCCACCAATAGCATTCTAAAATAAATACCATTATACTTCCTCTGGATTTCTGTGCTACTCTTCTGCTTTCCACATACTTCATCTTGTTCTTTTCTAATCCATTCCATACATCATGCAGAATATTCTCCTAAAAATATAAATCAGATTGCTGTACCCCTTTTCTGTGAATAGTTTTGCTCTTTCCTCTAATACCTAGGTAATACTCCTTACCTGTCTTCATCTCATGCCATTCCACCAGTGCACTGGGCCATTCTCAGTTCCTCAGATATGCTACATTCTCCCTGTCTCCAGGTATTAGCATGTGCTTCATGTGGATGGCAAACACCTATTTTTTCATCTAGCCAACTTCAACTCAATCATCAGAGTTCAATTAAAAATGCCATTTCTTCAGAGAAGAGCTCCCTGAGCTCCACTCTAAATTAGGGTCCCTGATTTATTTTCAGGATAATTGTATCCCTTTTAGCCACTCATCAAAATTCTATTTTGTGTTTATCCAATATACTACTTTG